GAATATGACGATGAGGGTGAGTGTCAAAATGTACCATTCATGTCTATGTTATCCATTGTAGATAGGCAGAAAAAAAGTAGTAAACTATCTAAACTGTGTGATAGTATTTATCAACCAGAAGCTGTCAACAGGCCGAGGAAAATTATGTTAGAATGCACCATTGATGACAAGCGTAACTATTTTGAGTTGGATACTGGTGCTGCGGTGAGTACAATACCTTTACATCTGTTTCGAAAATTATTTCCAGAAAAGATTCTAAATAGAACAAGAATACGGTTAGGGACATATACAGGAGAAATGATTCGCCCCGTAGGTTTTGCAACAGTCAAAATTTGTTATAAAGATCAGATGTCTGTGGGCAACCTATACGTTATTCGGGGAAATGTAGACAGTGTATTTGGAAGGGAATGGTTGAAACTATTCAACATTGAGCTTCAGAAAGAGAATGACCACAGAACTAAGAAGGATGGAAACATAGTGGAATACAATAAGTCATTGACAGGAGGCCGGTACCACGATAGGAAGGGATTTAATCACCCGGCACTCGACCAGATATCCAAAGAGCCTGAGACTCGATTGGCCACCAAGAGACAGGCGAGAGATAAAGCTAGAGAAATCAGGACGAAGGAACTAGAAAGTCACCAGCTTTACAGCAAATATAACTTTAAAAACCACGATGTATACTCCACTCCAAAAATAGCTAGCTCTGCCACCAATAGTAGATCTCAGCTGTGCTCAAAGAACAGCTATAAATCGTCAAATTGTACTTCTGAGGACTCTATGGAGGAGGTCAACAGCATGCAAGTTGCCAGTATTGATCCAAGGGAATGTGAGGAGAAGTTCTGCAAAGCTGTGGTGACCAAAGCACATCTGGACAGTGTGAAGAAGGCTAGAGTAGAGCAAGAACAACTAGGTGAAGAGCAGAAAACTCTAGAAGAACTAGAAGGTGTCCTACAACATAAATATGGGTATGTAGATATTCGGTTGAAGCGAGTCCTAGAAGAATGTAATGGGTTGTTGGATGAGCTACGAGGACTCAAGTTAGAGTTAATGAAAGGGAGAGCTGCATGAGTTCTACACCGATGACAGGGACGATATACAACAAAATAATTAATAGAGCTCAGGTTAATTTTAAGGGGGAAGTGTTGTACTGTCTTTAAATACCATATTTAATTGTAATATTTATCAGCTGACTTTTTGTTTGTTTTTGTTTATGTGATGAGTTTTTGGAAATTGGTATTAAAACAGGGTTGATCTTATCTTGGTTTTATTTTATCTTCAAATAAGTTACAATTAGTCATAAAGCATCATCATTAATTTATCTAATGTATTACTCAACAAAAAAATATAAATTTGATTTTTTTGATTTTTTACTTGGATGGATGTATTCCAGCAGTTCTAATTTCATTGCCCTATATGTTTTGGTCTAAAAACCTTTAGTTAAATACCAGCTTTCATTTGAGCTATTGATTATTAAGATTCTGATCTTAATAATCCTACCTATATAACACTGCTGAATCACGAATCTACAATAATTATAATCGTTTTAGTACTTATCTGCAATCAATTATATGATAACTATTTTTATTTAAGTTATTTTATATGTTTTGGTCTTAAAATACTTCAAAGGATTTCACTTGAGATATTGATAGTTTAATCAGCTAAGTTAAAGATACTGTATCGCTCAATCAGAAAACATAAATGTGATTATATCTTGGATATGGAATTTAGTTTTATATATATTGACTCAATTAATTCTAATTACGCTACCTATTCTATTTGAATCGGAGGTACCTAAAGCACACTGCTAAATCACAAACAACCCAAGTTGTTAAAAAAATTGAGTTATTAATCATCAATTTATAGTCAAACGATCTTGCTTGCAACCTCAAGAGTAACTGTCGACTTTTGACAGGTTTCACCTAGTAAATAAAGAAAAATCAAACTTTCATCATTATTTGCAAATCTACACTAATTAGGCTTTCCAATGAACTATTAATAATAAAATTGGTTCAGTAGAACTGTAGATTTAATTGTACAAAGTTTAACAACAACATCTTTAATTCATTATTTTCTCACCACTATAAATTGGGAGGTTGCTTAACGTTTTTGCAAATAACTTAAGTGGAAGGTAATATTCCGATAGAGAATAAAATTTCCTACAAATTACTTTTACGTATTTCTTGATAATACTCAATAAAGTCAGCCTAAAGTTGGCTACAAATATAAACTTGGAAAAAAAGGCGTTTTAAATGTATTATTGTTTATTTTATTTTTTTACCTCAAATATGTAATAAAATCAAACTTTCATAATTATTTGCAAATCTACACAAATTAGGCTTTTCAATGACCCATTAATTAACAAAATCGGTACGGTAGAAGTCTAGATTTAGTTGTACAAAGTTAAATAAAAATATATCTAATTCAGTATCTTAGCTTATTGCTAATAACATTTAAATGGAGGGAAAATCAACCAAAGTGGATGCTATATTCTGAAAGAGAATAAAATTTACTACAAATAACTACTATGCAATTCTTGAAGATACTTAATGAAGGCAGCCAAAAGCTGGCTACAATAATATAAACTTGAAAACAGGAATTTGAAAAAGCAGTTTTTAATGTACCTATTTTTGTTATTTTTACTTTTTCACCACAAATATTTAATAAAATCAAACTTTCATAATTATTTGCAAATCTGTAGTTAACAAAATCGGTCCAGTAGAAGTCTAGATTTAGTTGTACAAAGTTTAACAAAAATGTCCCTAGCTCAGTATTTTCTTATTACTATAAACTCTTCCTTGAGGAAGACTATTCCTTGAATTTTGTTGAGGAAGGTCTTTCCTTGAGGTTTCTTTTAGCCTTTTTGCAAACAACTTTTAAATGGTGAGAAAATCGCCCAAAGTGGGGGTGATATTCTGAAAGAGATTAAAATTTGCTACAAATTGACACTTCTTGGAAATACTCAAAAAAGGCAGCCAAAAGTCGCACCCACATGAAAAGTGTGATAAACACGGCCGTTTTCAATGTATTTCCAGTATTTCTTATGGAAAACATGTTTTTTTAGAATTTTTCACCATAAATCATAACAAAAACAAACTTTCATAATTATTTGCAAATTTAACCGAATAAAGCTTTCCAACGACCATTTAATTATTAAAATTGGTCCAGTAGAACTCTAGATTTAGGTTGTACAAAGATTTATAAACTGAAATATATAAGTAGATAGTCCTTCAACACTAGACAATAACGACTACCACCAAGAGAAATATTTTCCATTGATCCACATAAGACACCACTTATAATGTCACCTGGACTTTCAGGTTTCACTAATCTTGTGTGATAAGTTTCTCTGTGATGTTTCCCTTGTACACATCCCTCACAAAAAAAGTCATCCTTTTTCACAGATATGCCCTGATTGCCAAGAAACTTATACACATGAGCCTTGTTTTGATGAGCACACTCGTGCCATTCTTGTAGTGTTTTATTTTTACAGCTCACAAACTGTACAACTGTACAACTGTAAACCATTGTGTCCTGCTAATAAATGTGGTTTATTTTCCTTTATAAAAACACACTTATTTTTATTAGCTTTGAAAGTATAGTCCTTTTCCACTAACCTGGAGACCGAAAGAAGATTCCTGTCTAGTTTTGGAATATACCATACTCTTTGCAATATCCGGACAATTTTAATCTTACCAATATTTGCAACAAACTGAATGCCACCTTCTCCTTCAGCATAGATAGCTTCTCCATTAGCTACTGTAACTGAAACAGGTTTAGAATAACCGTGGTAGGTATCAAAATATTCCCTCTTGAAACACGTGTTGTGAAGCACCGGAGTCAGCTTATGTTTAAAGATAAATAAACGGTATCAGTATTCTGACACATACTTTCTCCCATAAGTTTGTCAAAAATCTTTATCATATGTAAGTGGTGAGAGTAAATATACGCAAATGGGATTTGTACAATTTTGTTCACAATTTAAAGGACTATAACATGCTAAATTTTTATCAAAATCGTTCGGGCCATTTTTGGGAAAATCCGATTTTTCTGTTATTTTATGGGGAAATGACATAATTTACAATAACTTTTGAACCGTAATTTTTACAGAAATGGGATTGGTACCATTTTGTTCAGAATATAAAGAACTATAACATACTATTTTTTTATCAAAATCGTTCGGGCCATTTTTGGGAAAATCATATTTTTCCGTTATTTTATGGGGTTTTATGGGAAAATCCCCATTAAAAATAAAAATTTCTAAAAAATAAAAAAAAAACTATGAAAACTGTAAAGACTATAACATACTATGTTAAATCAAAACCGGGTTTTTATGGGAAAATAACATATTTGACCATAACTTTTGAACCGTAATTTTTACAGATATGGGATTTGTACCATTTTATTCAGAATTTAAAGGGCTACAACATACTAAATTTTTATCAAAATCGTTCGGGCCATTTTCGAAAAAAATCGGTTTTTCCGGTTTTTTATGGGTTTTTATGGGAAAATCCCCATTAAAAATAAAAATTTCAAAAAAATGAAAAAAAACCTATAGATACCATGAATTAGAACCTACATACCAAATTTCATCGAAATCGGACCACAGGTGTGGTCTCTAGCTCTGTACACATCCAGACACACAGACACACACACACACACAGACATCACTTCGAAAACCACTTTTTTGGGTCCAGGGGGACCCAAAACGAATATATCCACACAAAACTCAAACTCGAAAATTTTGACGAAAACAATACTTTCTCCATATACTATGGTATAGGGGGAGAAAGTAAAAATACATACACATGATTTAATTAATTATAAACCATGTGATTGAAAACAGATAGTGAGTAAGTTGGTTTCTTTCAATACTATTCTCTTCGGTTGAGTTATGATATGCGGTCTTTATCCATGCTTATTTTAATTGGGAGTTCCCTAACTATGTATAAAAGCCGAAAACCAACAAAATTTAAACTTAACAAACAATATTCACTTACTTTTGTTGACCATTAAAATTTCTAAGACCGCATTGAGTGGAGCATGAATCTTAGTTGTATCTTTTGGCATTTCAGGAGTCACTGAAAGCAATGTAAAAAACATAACTTATATTCTTGTACAAAGAACAATATTCCCTAAATCTATCATTATTAATCATCACTCATAATTAGTTCATTACTAACTGTATTAATCTCACTTCAGCTTGCCCCAGCCAAAGACCTTATGAAAGCTGTGAAGGTATCAGTGTTTGTTCCCACCTCAACAGGGGCAATAACCAAGAAGGACGTGATGCAGGGCCTCAAGCTGCAGAATGGCCTTGACACAGACCACTGGGTGGTTGTTGACGGAAACTCAAAACCTGGCGGACAATTCCGGGTCATGATAATTGACAAAAACTCCCTGCAGAAGCTGAAATCTCTTGTGATGCGCCCATTCCTGGGCTGCGAGAGGGTTACCTTCAGGTTGCATGGGAGCAAGGATCCCCACAAGTAGAGGATAGTTGCAGTGCTCCAAATCAATCTCCAGCACAGCAGGGCAGCTACGGCTACGCTTTGCCAGAAGATCCTTGCTGACCACATAGGCAAGGCTCTGATCCAGGACGCAGGAGGCAGAATCATGGGGATGGGCACCGCAAAAGGTGAGTTTATATATGATACTGACAAACCTAGAGCTTGCATTTTTGTCAGTATAAATATTGAGACACTGAAAGTCACTAATCTCTGTTCTAGGGATTGTGCCGTGACAGAGGTATACGGGCAAAAAATGGGTGAATGGGGGGGGGGATGGGTGATGGTGACGTCAGAATCGTCCTTGCGTCAGTATACGTGCCGTATGACTCCCGGGAACCACCACCGACCAGAGAATTGAGGATGGTTGTAGAATATGGAGCCAGGGGAAGGAGACACCTGTTGTTGGGCTGCGATGCCAATGGCCATCAAATGGCCTGGGGGAGCAGCAACGTCAATGAGAGAGGTGAGAGCTTGTTAAGTTTTATAGCTTAATCTAATTTAGTTATATTGAACGAGGGATCCAAACCAACCTTTAGTCAGAGGAGAGAGTTTTTGGACATAACTTTGGCTAGCAGTTATGGGGTGACAAAGGTTTTAAAATGGGGGGGTATCTGATAACCACTCAGCGTCAGATCACAGTCACATTGAATTTACTATAGGCTCAATCTGTACAAAAGAGACCTATAGGAACGTGAGAAGGACAGACTGGAACCAGTATCGAGAGGTGCTAGGGGACCAGACTAAGCCAAATAAAAGACAAGAAGGGCATGGGGTGGAGAGTATGGCGAATTCATTGAATGCGGCCATATTAAGCTCGTACCAAGAAACCTGTCCGGAGACTGTAAAGAACATGCGCAGGCAAGCCTGATGGTGGAATAGTGGGTTGGGGGCTCTGAGGAGGAAGGTTCGCAGACTTTATAATCGGAAAGTAAATAAAAGAAACGTCTTATAACCTTAAAACATATATTTACGCTTATACTGTTACTCACAAGACAGTAAATTTATACAAAAGATGGTAAGTGAAGTGGTGATCCATTTCGATTGGAGTGTCCAATCAAAATCGATCACCACTTACCATCTTTTACAAAGAACATATTTATGTTTTACTTATCAAGCTTTACAAACACCTCATATTTCCTTTAACACTTTCGCTGCGGGCCATCAAATGGCAGGCGTAGCCTCAGCGCGGCGCAGCCCGCAGCGTCGAACAAACCCGATTGCCGGGTGTTTGGCTCTCATATTTCGGTATGACGAATAGCAAATAACGTGCGGTGATGTCCTGTTTTATAACAAGAGTCAACGTAGTTCGCTAAACACTCACATATAGCAGCACTGCTTGGAACGTAGCCGGTCCCATCGTATTGCCAATTGGAGGGAGAAAGACGGGACAACAAGTTGATTTTTAAGTTTGCCAGACGGGGATTTTATGGGGAAATTTTACTACCAACCTACAACACAACAAAAAGCAAGTCACCCACTACACGCTAACGTGGAATTGGTCTGCCTTCGACCGACGCTAGAGCAAAAACGATGATATACGAAAGGCATTGCCGAGCGTATCCGATCGGCTACGGCAGCGTCTGAACAGCGCTCGGCCCGTATCCGATCGGATACGCCCGCAGTGAACGTGTTAAGGGCTGAGAAGCAGTGATGTGATTTTCAAAAACGCATTTTTATATATTGGGAACATTCCTTTAGATTATTACATTGATTGTTGTGCTTTTATTTGCATATAAGGGGGTAATGGTCTTATTTTAAGTAAAATAGTTGGTGAAATCGTAACATGTCAGCCATTTTGATGACGTCATAACCAGAAAATGCAGTGGGTGCAGACGTGACACCTGAGTTGAAAACACTTCTTTAGACAACACCTACATCAACATTAAATAGATACACTTGATATATATATATGACTTGCACATAGCCCTAGATGTCAGACTGTTTTTTTGCCAAATTAAGTGTTTTTGTAAGATTTATCTAGTTTCTTGACTTAATCTTTTGAGTAAAGCAAATTAAATATGGTATTTTTGTAAAGCTCTTTAAACCTTCTACAACCTGTTCTATAGGATGTTTCTGATATATTGTATCAAATTAATAATTGACAAAATTAACACAAAAATATTTTAAAATACTGTTTTTTGCAAAATTACGAAAAATGTACTAAACATACAACAAATGTGTAGATGTAAGAAAGATAGCATGTAAACTTATCTTTTAAAAAAAAAGTGTATCCCAATCCGACAAATAGTATGCGAAATATATACTTTATATGAAATCCTTTGCCACCATATTGAGGACGTCCTAGCCGGAAAACGTGGGGGTTAGGAGGTACACACTCAGGTTTTTTACTCCCTAGACATTAAACTAAAAGGTTATGCAAGAGTATTTAGTATACACAAGTTTGCACACTAAAGTATAGCCAGCTGCAGGACTAGTAGAGACTAGAGTGGCACTATAAAATAAAACAAGTTGGGGTCATTGCATTTGCTTTAAAACATCAGATTTGAAATATCACATTTAAAGCGATTTTTTTATAGATAAGTAAATTGTTGTAGTTTGCTTGTTTATGGATATATTTTGATCAATCTTGGGAAAAGTATTTATTTTACACTAAGCTATTAATATTTTACTAAAAAACACACTTTATTACCCTCACTGTAGCAGACAACACAGGTGCTTGTTAAAACTAATGTTCTTAAAATATTAGATTTAATTGAAAATCAAATCAGTTAAATGGAAATTTGCTTAGTCTGCAGGTTTGCTATGGCAGGGGTATTTTATTATCATATAAACTAGTGTGGAAGAAGCGTAAATATTAAAAATATTGTTAAAAAATGTATTTTATTGTTCCCATATTATAATAGTATTTCCCGTGCTCCATAGTGAACCCTTCAAGGTCAAGCCTCTATAGCTTCCTATTGTAAAATTGTATTCCTTCACTATTGACCACAAGATACATTCTTTAGTATAATGAGTACAATAAGTCCACTATTGAATATTTCTTTGCAATGAAAGTACTTCTACATTAGCTCTATCTCATTAATAAGTTAACTTACAAATCAAGCTGGTGAAAGGACCGTCTACAGCTACAGCAGTGACAGGAGAGTCTATTCTCACCAGATACCTAAAGTCAGGCGTACGACTCAGTCGCAGGTGGATTGCTGATGGACTCAACAGCTGGCTGATACACACCCCTTGTAAGAGTGATGCTTTAGAACACTCTCCACCCTCTGGGTTCAGGGTCTGTCCAAACAGATTATTTCAATAGTTTTGCTTTGGAAAAAAAATTCTTTAAAACTGAAATGTGGGTGTTCGCCTAGAGAATCAAGGATAATTGGGTTGTGCAAATCTTGCTGAAATATGGAATAAATGTACAAAAAATATATTAGTTATTAAAACTGTATACAGGGTGTCCCAGACCACCCGACCGGCTTCTAGCTATAGCTCCAATGAAAGCAAATAGAAACCTAATTGCAACTGGAACCCCCTGTTTTGATCCCAAGGAATTCAGCTAAATTATTTTTAAGACCAAAAATGCAACCCAAAGGGCAGATTTTGGGGGTTGGGGGGTTGGTAAATTTTCAAATGTAAAGAGGGTCGTGTTATACCTCATTTTAAAGGTCTTTGAGTCCTGAGTATTTTAGTGGAAAGAGTTTTAAATTATTTTCATCCCTATTTACAGGTTGTTCAAAATTATACAAAAAATAGACCTTTGCACTACTTTTCACTACAAAGAGGTGGAATTTCTTGGGGGGTTCAAATTTTGATAATACTTTAATTGCTAAATGAGGTTTAAAAAAAATGTGGTGTTAACCCTTTTCCTAACTTTTTATGTAACCCATTTTCAAACTTTTTGAAGTTTCAAAAGCTGTTATCTCAAAATTTTCAAATGGCAACATGGGTATAATTACAAACCACATTGTAGCCCTTAAAATTAGCTACAATTTTTGCATTTAATGTTTTTTTTGTATTTTAATTGGTTTTGGTTAAAGAGCTGTAGCGAAGTTAGTGTATTTTAATGTTTTATTAAATGGTATTCAAAGTGTTTGCTTGATTAAAACTAATTAGTAATTATGTCTAAAAAATTAAATACTACCCAGATTGTTAAACTTGGAAGATTAATAAAGGAAAGAACACAACTGCAAATATTCTTAGTTATTTTACAATATCCCATAGCTCTTTTCTTAGTGCTTTGAACGAATAATTTGTCTATGAGGCTGCTACCATATCCACTTGACACTGCAATATGCTTTAGTATCTTAACTTCGTTATTGTAGTTGGTTGGGATGAGTGGGATGGTGAGTAGATGATGGACGAAACTATTGTAGGCGGATAATTTTTTGCTATAAGGGTGATGTGATGATGAATGGATAGTTTGGTCAGTTATAGTCAGCTTCCTGTAGATATTGAATTCTAAGTTACTGCCTTTTCTTTTTATAGTGGCATCCAGGAAATTAATAAAATATAGATACTTCCGTTTCAAGAGTGAATTTTACATTTTTGTACATTTTTGAGGTATGTTTTGTCATAGTATTGCAAAACGGCTAAACTGTATGTTTTGAGTATTGTTACGTCCCAAAATGTGCGTAAGTGCTAAGCCACAGCGCCAGCGGTGTGCAGGGACCTGACAAATGGTTTGTGTGTATTTAGATAAATTGTTTTTGTTAAGTGTCAGTATTTGTGTCACTAGTGTCGCGACTTACCCTTCACCGGCGCCGTATCAAGTTTCACGGTTGGTCAACTGTCCTTAATTAATGTTTAAATGTTTCGTGTGTGTTTCCGTGTAAGTACCTTCATGTCTATCTATATAATTAATACGCTACATGAAACTTTGTCGGTTGAACTCCTCCGCCATTTCTTAACAGATTTTTTCCATTGATGTCTCATTGGAAAGAGCGTGTCGCGTAGATTTGCAAACTGCCCTTACATATTTGAAAAAGTCTCCTGGGCTATGCCCCAGTGGCTTTGAAAGTTTCAATGTTATCCTTATGAAGAACATAATTGTTTACATTTTGATCAGCTGTATAATTTAATTGCTGTTATTTATTTTTCAATTCAATGAAACGCATTGAGTTCATTTATTTACTATTTGAGTTTGTGTCTTCATAACCCCCAAGACGGATCGTATTAGTATGGTTGTAACTTAAATTTGTGCATTTATCGTTGGTTTGAGTAGCCATAATTTGTTTATTTGTCGTTTTTTTCTTTCAAATGCCTCCGACGCGACGACAACGAAACATAGACAGGATGCGTAATCGTGATAACGACCGCAGCTACAGAATTGTGGCGCGTTAATATGCTTAACTCATAACAGTCAGTACCTGACCCTGGACAATCTCAACTATTAGGTTACAAATAGGCCCTAACACTACCCCAAAACGACTTTTTGTTCTCAATTGGCCATCTATCAATGACCTGTGTTGCCTGTACAGCGAGGCATTTTGAGAAGGAGAAAACCGGCCGGAATGCTTTATGTGTATCAATAACGAATATAAACATGGTCTGAGTTACACACCGGTAATCTTTGAGTTGACTCTTTTCAACTCATTGTAAATATGATTGTTATTCGTTTTGAAATAACTCCTATAATACATTGCAATTGCTCGAATTCGAGCAACATGTACACTGGTTCATCTTAAAACCATGACGAACTCGACACGGAAGGATGTATAAGGAAGCTGGCATTCAACAAACCTTGTGATGTGCCAATTATAGAGGCATGAAACAGATGTAGTTTCCTAAAACTACCGTGGATTGTAGACAGAAGCCAGCTAACATAAACCTTATTAGTGAAAATATAACCATCAGGGGCGGCGGAAGCAAATTTTTGTTGGGGGGTCAGAAACCTATGGCGGAGGTCCACATCCGGGGTCACATTGGGGACAAGGGGGGTCCGGGGGCCTTCCCCCGGGAAAATGTTGAAAAATAGAAGCCTTAAAACGTGTTTTTAGGCTACCTGAAGAACATTTTTCTTCAAGCAGTAACAAAGAAAATTTACAATTTTACAAAGACGCTACTCTGTTCATTATAAAAACATTATAATAAATAATACACACACATCTCAAACAAACAAAAAATGAAGTACTGGTGCCCAGATTTTACTAAAGCTGTCAGCAATGAGTTGCTGCAGATGACAGAGAAGAATAAACAAGCTCTAAGCCCTAGGGATTTATGTGTTCGCGTAATTTCGGCAGGCTGTGCCCCTCCCCCTCAAAACTGAATTAATAATAAGTTAAATTAAAATTGGCTGCTTGATTATAGTTAATCACAAAAGTAAGACGGTAGGGTATAACCAAGTAAGTGTGTCCACTGGGGCTAAATAATGGTTTACACAAAAACATTAAAAAACATAAAATTACTAAGAAATACAAAACCTTTTTGATGAATTATTGCTAAAATAAGTAAAATCCCACACGAGAATCTCAAGATATTAGCCTACTACAAGTTTACTAGGTTTGTAAACTTCTGCTGATGAAACTTCAGTAGGCCCTAACTTGAACTTCAGTCTTTGAAATTCCCGAAAACTGCACAGCGACTTTCAACTCTATTGACAAACATTCTTGCAATGTGCTTATCATCAATAGATTTAGCAATGTCCCTATGGACGGATAAGATGGCAAGATGGTTCAATCTCTTCTGCGTCATCGTGGAACGCAGCCACGTTTTCAAGCGACGAAGACAAGAAAAGGTTCTTTCTGCAGTTGCTGCAGACGCTGGTATGACAAGCAGTAACTTGACAACCTTTACTACTTCAGACAAAAATCGTTTGTTTTCTTGAGGCTCACTATTTAAAGTAACAACTAAATCACGTACACTTTTAACTTCCTTCTTTTTTGGTAAATCTTGTAGACGGTTTAATTGGCTTGTAAGCTTTTTCTTGTCCAAGTCAGTAATTAACTCTCCAGGAATTAACCCAAAATTCCAATACGATCATGAACATCAATTAAATTAATTATTACTTTTATAAGGTTTTGTGAGTATTAAGCCCCTTCATAATAAATGTAATAGATTATTATTAATAACTAAATTGTTTATCTTTGTACTTAACTTCAGTAACTGTTATTAGGCCTACTTATACTTTTCTTCTTGGGCCGAAAAAATAAACGTATACAGTACAGAATGCTTTATATCATTAATTTTTTTTATATGAACCCCTGACCCTTGACCCCCCTGACCCTTCCTAAAATTTCAGGGGGGTCAACTGACCCCCCTGACCCCCTGGTTCCGCCGCCACTGATAACCATCTCTCATATGAAAACCAGTCTAGCAATAAACTAGTGATGAGTTGATACAAAAATGTATCTATTCCTAATATTAATTCCAAGACCTGAAAAATCTACTCTAAATACCGGGGTACCATTTTTTTATTGATTTACAAAATTTTCTGAATGGATTGGTTATACTACACTGACACCAGTCTTTATGTCCTTCCATTAAGTATTTTTGAGGTAATGGAGTGTTTTTCTCAACAAAAAACAATATAGATATTCAGCAATTATATATATTCCAAATAAGCAATTTAAGTTCAAACCATCTAATCACATAAAAAAACTACTTAAAATGACTCTAATTAATTATAAAATAACTAGGTGAAACCCGTCGAAATTGACGGTTACTTTCAAGGCTTACTCATCTAGTGCGATAAATTGAGTGAAGTTATACATACCTATTTTGAGTATTTAGCATTGTTTAAAGAGTAATAAGTGTAAAAACAGTAAAGAAATTAATTGCGTTAGTTACCAAATATGGTTGATCATTCAACGAATAAAATATTTCCCATACCGTACGTCATCGGAGTTATTATTAGTATGTTATCTGGTATCTCTTCCTTTGGAAGAACCATTTAATAGTGTTAAAATCGTATTGGTGGATCTTCTGTAGTTAAACAATTCTGCGATTTCATCAGTGTAATGCAGATTAATCTATGATTTTATTTGAAAAAAAATATCTGTTAGTTGGGAAGACACGTTCTAACATCAAAGGGAGGTATATCCGTTACAGTGTAAGTTTGATTTTTCCTTTGTCACGTCGCGTCAGTTCACGTCTCAGCCTTATCGATTACATAAAGTTGGCAATATAATCTCTCTACGGTATGTTAGGTGTAGTGGAATATACTTGAAGTGAAGTTGGGTTTTATTCTTGAACTATTAGTGGCCTCCTTGCTTATATGGTCGTGCGGCTTCATTGGCAACAAATAAGTCAAAAGGCAGAGGAATGTGGCATATCCAAAAAGCCAAAAAATACTGTAAATTGGCTGTTACGTAAATATTGACGCTTACATGCATTGTTAATAAACATATCTTATAAAGGATGATGTAATCTAGTTTAAAAGGAATATGACCTTTCTGTCATGACAGTAGCTGCTTAAATAGTATTTACTCATTGGGCCATTTTTTACAGCCAAAAAAAGGTTAAAAGGGCAGACACCAACCCGTAAAATATATATAAGATAGCTCAATAAGAAATAATTGTTAGAGTTACTGTGATTAAAGGATTTTCCACTGATTTCGTAATGGAACGTTATATGCAAAACATGATATGATACGGAAGAAAATAAATTTTTCACCACACTGACTATAATGTTTTTGGCTGTATTACATACGTTAATTGGTGGCTGAAAGTTACCTTTTGCTGGCCATGCCAGCTGTCATCGTAATTTGGGGACCGAGCAGGTTTTTACAGGCCGGGGCCGCAAAATCAGCTGTCCGCTTACTTACTTAAAACATGAATGCATTTTAAATACACAATCAAAATCCATAGCATTGCAATAGAATTGTGTTATTGTCACCGTTGCCTAGCATCTATTTATTTTTATTTTTTATGATTCCTCAAATTATTTCTTCACATAACCTTAAAGTTGTAGTTGTGTTGACTATCAGTGTGCATTATTATAGTGGTGAATAGTGGTAATGGGGTTAAATGTGGTGAAAAATAGCGTTCGTACCACTGACCGAAATGGTTTTACAGCTCTCGATCGATTTTAGGTTCTCGACTTCGTCTCGAACTTAAAAACTACCTCGAGCCGGCAAAACCTCATTTTCGGCCCTAGGTATGAAATATACTATTAAAATCAGAAAATAGCATTGCAAATACTTCTTTTGGACAATTCAGTAACTCCCAATAAATGTGTGTTGTTTAAAATACAATTTAAAAATCAACAGCTGTTTCATTAGAAAGTATTATCCACATGACCAAAATGTAAACAAATCTGTAGAGGGATCTTTAAAGGCTTCTGGGGCAGAGCCCTAAGGGAACTTACTTCGTTTTTCTTTTGATAACTCATCTACAGACCAAGACCTTTCTTTGGACACCTCAACCAAGTTTCTATGCCCAGCCGTTCTCTCAAATTAGTGGAGACAAAGTTTCCAATAACATATTTAGATTCCCCCATGTTAATCTTACGGGAGAAAACTCAACTTTGATGGAAGATCCTGTCCAAACTAATAAAGATTTCAAAAAATGAAAAAGACTTTGTAAAACTACAGATCAGGGCCATTTTTTTTTACACTTTAATCATCAAAATTGGTCCAAAAATGAGGGAGGAGTTCTGTTTACAAAAATCGGCTTAGCGTATTATATATATAGATTAATAGAAACACGCATATTTACTCAACACAAATTCTATTTCATGAATGTTTACAAAACAAAAACAATAGAAAAACATATGATAATAAAAATAGGTATAAATGAAATATTAAACAGTCTTATAGAAGTCATATCACTGCTATAGTACAGTCTCCCCCACTATTTTGAACTTGCTGTAGAATCATGTAAGCACAAAGTCCTTGTATCGACACGGCATTTGCCTTTGTCGCCTTGATCTCTCTTGATTCACAGGAACTTCGCATTGTTTGTTTCTGTTTCCTGAACTACTGGAACCTCTGAATTGTTTGCTTTGGGAGTTGGCAGTCTTTCGGGAATTGACGGTCCTTCGGGAGTTGATGGTCTTACGGGAGTTGATGGTCTTTCAGGAATTGACTTGTCTTCCAGGATTAGTAAATTGATTATAAGGAGTAACAGCCGTAGTATTTTCTTTGGTGCTGTGTTTAGAAGCCTGTGGAACATAAAATATGTGGATTGGTCCAACACTAACAATTTTTGGTTTTGGTATCAAAGTAGACCGCAATTGACCAATATGTGTTGCTTTACAAGTCGGCCTGAATTGTCAAGGGAAACTAGTTAGTGTCGAGTTCCCAACTTTTTATTTACCTCTCCAAACTCCCAAACGTTCTTGTTGTTTATGAAGAGACGAACCTGAACTCTCTCCCCCTCATTGAATGCACGTACAGAAGGAGCATTTCGAGTTGAAGCTTTTTGTACGTTAGGAAAAATGGCATCCACTCATATTATTAACTTCCTGTGGAGGTAAAGTTCAGCCGGTGTTTTGCCACATGCTAGAGGAGTTGCGCGGTACCGCATTAAGATCTTCTGGACCTTTATTGCCATTGGTGTGATTTCCGAAGCTGTGGACTTCAGGCGTTTCTTCAATGTTTGAACAGAGCGTTCTGCTAAGCCGTTTGTTGCTGGGTGTCCTGGAGATATGAATTTCTGGAAAATGCCATACAATTTGCAATAACCTTGGAATGTATCACTTTGAAAAATTGAGGCGTTGTCAGATACCATAACATTCGGGTAGCCGTGTGTAGCAAAAATCTGTTCAAGTAGATGTATGGTATTGGAGCTGGATGGTGCATCTTTGATTACTTTTATTTCACTGTATAAAATATTAGTGTATCTTGAAACTGGAAATTGAATGTAATTTTGAAAAGTAAATGTGTTGAATTTTACAGTGGCAAGTTGATTTTCACACTCGTCGCCAATTAAAATGACACTAATTAATTATAAAATATTAATATAAAATATATAAAATATTAATTACGCATATTTATTTACTCAACACAAATTCTATAAACAAAACAATAGAAATACATATGATAATAAAAAAAAATAGATATAAATGAAATATTAAACAGTCTTATAGAAGTCATAACACTACTATAGTAAATATAAATGAAGATCTAACAACAAAAATTTAAAAGAAAGTTATATCATAGAGATGTGCTACCCTAATATTTTCAGTCAAGCCAAACTCAAAGTAATATTGTGATCATCGCCAGTGGTCGTGGGGATATCATCTTCGTCTTCTGGGATCACTGCAAAATCCTAAATATCTTCCTCAAGTACAGAAAGATCATCACTGTCTGTTGCGGTCGCGGAAAAATCATGGAAATCTCCTGCGGCCATGTAAACATATCATCAAATCCCACGGTCACAGAAACGTCAATGTGGACTGCAGCACAAAAATTTAACACCACTCGCGGCCATATGGACATCATCATTGACTCCTGCGGTCATTATCTTCGTTAGCGATAGCAGAAAAAAATCCTGAACATCTTCCGCGGTCATGGAAACGTCATCATCATCTGCCGCCATCGCTGCATAATCATGAACACTTCCCGCGGCCGTGTGGACGTCATTGTCGTCTCCCGCGGTCATCGTTCGCAATCACGGCAAAATCATGAACATCTTACGCGGCAGTGTAGACATCATCATCATCTCCCATGGTCACGGAAACGTCATCGTCATCATCCGCGATCGCGATTGCGTCATAATCATGAACATATACCCTCGCCATGAAGTCATCATCGTTGTCTAATGTGGTCACGGAAATGTCATCATCAACATCCGCAATGGGCGGTAAAGTCATATATTTCCCACGCCCGTATAGAAGTCATTATCTTCTCCCACGGTCACAGAAACTTCATTGTTGTCATCCGCAATCGCGGCAGAATCATGAATATCTCCCGCAGCCATATAGACGGCATCATTATCTCCTGAGGTCATAGAAACATTGTGTAGTCATCTGGCGCAATGGCGGCAATAGCGATAATTTTCCGATCGTGCAGGCGTGACGAGTATCGGTATCGGAATCGATTTTTGACGATCGAGAAAAAACCCATGTATGCGGGATCAAAATTTTATAATAATCTCCCAATCGAAATTAAATCAGAGACTTCCAAAACAATATTTAAAAATAAATTAAAGAGATTTCTCATCAGCAAGGCTATTTTTCTTTTGAAGAGTTGAATAGTCTTTGAAGTCAAAAACAAATTCAATTTATGTATTTTTTGTTTGGACTTTAAAAAAAAATTTGGTTTGTGAAATTTTGTTTTTATTTTATTATGTTAGAAATGTATTTAATAACTATTAGGCCTACTTGCAACTGTTGACACTATTCAATGTATTATGTACAGGAAATGAATAAAGTAGTTTTGAATTTAATTGAATTGATTCTCGATACCAATTCCAACAGCCAAGTATCGGTGGTATCAAGAATCAACACATCCCTACAATAAACCTTACCCCAGGTACTTACGTATCTGTCCTCAGCCTTGGGTATGGCAGGAGCTAGATACTGTGGAAGTGTAAGGTTCTCCAGTGTACAGCCGTGGTAACGCAGCAATGCAGCTTGGGAGATGACACTACAGTCTCCAACCCCCTCCACCAACACCCAGTACGAGCACACTGGCTGAGTAGCATTCAGTACCACATCGTACCTCTCTCCTGCAAATTGATAGGATATTTATAATATATAATGAACTGTGTGTACTTTGTGAGAGAGAGACCAGAAAAAAAGGTCTTTAGACATAAAAAAAGATAGTGTGATTTCAAAAGAAAGAAGGAAATCATAAGGCTTGTCCATGAATTAAAGTCTCCAAAAACACCAGCACCATAGCATTCTAGCATTCTAGCTGGTTCCCAACTTTATGTAACAATTAGTCTAATTGTGGATGAAGTAAAAATTACGATGCTAGTGTTATATTTGAACTAGCTTAGTTGCAACAGGATCAGGTTGGAGTACTTAATTTACAGACAGCCCTAGTAAGGAAGGAAATTAGAATCATAACAAATAAAAAATAATAGACTGAAAAACATTGGTCATTCATTACTAAAAGAATCTAAGTAGAATGGTCCAATAAAACGACAAAATAAAATAAATAAAAATAATGATTATAAAATAAAAATTTAAAATAAATTAAAATATGAGAAGAGTAACAAGAAAATATATATTGTGTGAAATAAAAATAAATACTGTATCTTTCTCCAGAAGTGATTGGATAGTAAACCAGAATTTTTCCAATTGCGTATATCATATAGTCAGTGACATTGACGATGAGCTGAGCTTATATTCTTTCAATCCAATAGTTTCCACACAATAATACTACATTCTCAACTACTTAGCATACCTGAGGATACTATCAGAGAGTCAACTAAGACTGGTTTGATAATGTTTGTGTCAGCTGCAATGACAAGCAGCTTGTGTCCTTGTACAGTGAGACGGAACGGACAAGAAAGAGAAGTTCCTCCAATCACTCGGAAACGGTAAACAGAAGCCATGATGGACGTAGAACTCTGCCACGGGAGTCTGGACTGGATTCTGGAGAAATCTGTGCAAAGTCTGTGTAAAATAGCAAAACTTGTGAGCCATTTTATTAATTTGATTCATCATCTTTAGATATTTTTATTCCTAACTTTATTTATCTTTTAATTTGCATTAACACGAATACCGAAACCCCGGTCTGACAGGCCCACGGGAATTTTCAAAAACGCATGTTGGCAACACTGTTTACTTGGAAGATTCCATTCCCCCAATACCTTCCCCCCTTTTCCTCCCCTACCTATTAATATATCGTTTGTTCATTTTGCATGGGTGCCGTGACCTTGACAGGTTGTCTGTTCATAACATGTCCGTCTCAGAAGCCCAGCGTTAGTGTATTTTAAAGCGGGGTCTCACAGACCGAGGGTTTCGGTTTGTGTGTTTCTAAGCTGGGTCCATTATTTTGCAAATGGGGTCTCACAGACCGGGGTTTTCGGTTAACGTCAGTCTAGGTGGAGTTTCGGTATTAGTGTTAAGAAAATGCATTTTTTTTAGTCTGAAATGTAGTTTTGAAAAATAAACGCTAGTACTGATAGTTTGTTTAAAGATGTTTAGTAAATGGCACGCACAATGAACTCCTTAACAGTTGGAATGAACATAATTGAAAGCTGAAAATGTATAAAAAAACAATAAGTTTCCACTACAAAAGAGAATAAATCAATAGACTAGACATACACTGGAGCATGAAGTAAACATAGATTGAGCGATTGTGGTAAGGGATCAATTAGAACGCTCCCTAGGAAGTTGATGTCTTTCCAAAGTAAATACAAATGCTAAAAAAATACCAGACTTCCAAAAAAGCCAAAGTGAGTTTATAGGAATAACTAAATAAGTATGAAAATTAATCTATTGTACATTCATTCATTCATAGTACAGTTTTAGTACCGGTAATAAAATGAATTATGCAAATAAAACCGTGTACCACCTATAGTAAACGTCAAAAAGTAACTGTCTTGACATAACCATAGGTCGATGAGAGGCACCCGTGGTCCGTGGCCACACCCAGACTGTGTGAAACAGAGACAGCCTGACAGACTTAGCTACTTTATGATTATATTATGGCTGGAGATTAAAACCCTCAGTCAATGACGATGCATGAGCCTAAGATATTTGGTTATGTTTAGTGTTTTTATAAACCTGACTTTTTATAAATCTTTTTTGAAATCTTTAATTCAAAAAAGATTTCAATTAATTTTTAGTTTATTTTTACTTTCTCCCTTTATACAAACTCATAGTATATTTTTAAAAGTAATGTTTTAGTAAAAGATTTGAGTTTAAAAAAATATCCGTTTTGGGATAACTTGGGGATTTGTATTGTATTGAAATCCAAATTTGGTTTACGACTTACGTACCACCTGTCAACATGGTTTATGCGCCTTGAAAAAACAAGAATACCTGGTAAAACCACTCATAGAAAAGCTGAGATGCCTTTTTGTAGCGAGCAATCACCATAGTAACAGTAGCCACCAATGGTACTCGTCAATATTTAAAAAAAACTTGTTTTAATTTGGAAATATAGCCTCTGGATCGTTATTGAACATGATTAAATCTAAGGCTTACCTTACGATCCAATTTATTATAGTGGAGACCTAGGTTTCTACAACCTCCGAGGTTGGGATGTATCCCAACCTCGGAGGTTATGTTTGATAAAGATCATGGCCATGCATCTACGTTGTTTTAATATATGTCTTTGTAAATATTTATATATGTTCAATGTTTGTACAAATTATACTAAATCAACAATGTCTCAAGTAAGAGATGGCAAACAAAAAGTTTAGCAAGCCTATGAGACAAAGGACTGACGATAACGTTTTGACGTAGAAACCTAGGTCTCCACTATAATAAATTGGATTGTAAGGTAAGCCTTAGATTTAATCATTAAAAAAAACTTTAAAAATCAGAAAAAAATTGGTTAGAGTGAACTTATGGAGTTAAACGCATTGCAACATGGTTAGGAGATAATTATTGATGTAAAATTCTATAGGCTTGATTCCTATGTTCTGAGATAAAATTTAATTTAATGACTGTAGTACCACAACTCAAACCGAGCAGCTGTGAAATCTGACGATGTAATGTATATTAGAGAAAAATGAACCTCTTACCGCTGAAGTATCTGGAATCACCCGACTCCACAAACGCTAACAGGTTAATCCTAGTTTAAGTCTATCTATTCTTAGTTTTTGGTTTGATTTTGATGTGGTTTATTAATTTGAAAACCAATGATTTTAAACAGGTAAAAGAAGGTACAACTTTCTTCAATGTTTTTAAAATATATTTACATAGGATGGTTTTTTTTTCAAATACTTAAATTTATAAGTTTTACTTTAATCTTGAATATAAATCATATTTTTTTAGTTGTTTTAACCTTAACAATTTTAAGTATAATATCTACAAAGCTATAAAATATGAATATTTACCCCTCCTATACCTCTACCATTGATGAGGTAAGCATCAGGTATCCGAATTTGACTATTTCCTATTCCTCCAATCTGGTCTCTCAGGACGCTTTGTATAGCGTTGTCTTCTTGTATTTGGTGAATCCAATCTTGTACAAGAATTATGTGAGATGGGAGATCATGGTCGTATAACAGTCTGAATCTGTCTGTGACAGGCTCTCGAACAATGAGACTACCAATTACTCCTCGTAATTGTTTATCATCTGAAAGAACAAGTCACTTTCATAAATGTTACTTGGAGAGTTTTAAATTTTCATTTTTGTGTCATTCATAAGGTCTGTGAATAGGCAGTTTATCAGAAAATGTAGAGACAACCAATATAGCACAATCTAAATGCGTGATTAGTGAACAAGAGAACCATCCATTGTAGCAGCTGAACTATGACTCATAAGGACTTGATAATGTTCACTTTTTTCTGTAAATTAAACTGTTGACGACGACTTAAGAGTGTAGCTTGTCACAGCCATTTGCCGCGAGATGGCGTACTGCTAACCCACTGGCCTTCAAGTTGTAGGCCTACATCGTATCAAGCCTACAAGCTCAAGTGTCGTAATGTGCTTAGACCAAAAATAAAACCCAACCTGTTCGGACAACGGTGGCATGGTAGCTCAGATGCATTGCGGTGAGGAGTGTAGCGTTGAGGTCTTTCTACATGCGCTGATTCAAATACTGTACATGTTCAACCCATATTAAGCTTACTAAATGTATGGCTTAGCTGGAGAGAAGGGTCAAATCAGGTAATAAACAGTGGCTCACTTGGGAAGAAATTGACGGCATTAGTGAGTTTATTAAGGATTGCAAGCAACACCTGTTCTGCTTTAAATTTAAACGAGGTGTTAGCCCGTCCTACGTATGGGAGTAGTCAGTTACAACTGTGTATAAATCAGAACAGCTAGCTTACACGTATAAAGAAAAAAAATTATAGCAGCCTACAGTAGAAAGAGTAATTATCAATTGAGAAAGTGTATAGGCCTAGTCAACGATATCACCTTCCAATTCCATCGCATACCTGCCTCTTCCATAATCAATATCAACACAATACAATTACTCATACTATACACAATTTCCAGTAGGTCTGAATAGACACTCCCTAAAATAAAACGAAAACATCCAATAAAATTCACAGTAGGCTACACATAATTATAACGTTGGTGTCCTGACATCATTAAACGAATCGTCCACACATATCCTTTATATCAATTTCACTGCATCAATTGCTAAATAAATAAGTGTAAACAAAGAAAAGTAAAAAAAAAACATATAGTTTGTTTTGGTTAACAGCTGAGTCAATAAAAATAAAATAATATTCATTTGAACAAAAGAACTGGTCACATGTTGAAGGAATTTAAAACGTAAAACACGCTAGTAAAGCTAGTGACGTAATTAATGGTCTATGTTTATTATCCATTCCGTTAGTTATATTATCCTTAATAATTAAACCACCCTCATTGAATCAATATACACCATAATTCCCCTTATTCATTTATTTAAACTATAAAATATTCAGCGCCTATTTCTAAAATATTCAAACGTAACCACAACTAAACACACGCCAAACAACTTTTTAGATTTCATAAAAGGATGGTTAGTCTAATTGCAGTATCCTAGGTCAATGATGACGTTGTGCTCAATCTATGTCATTCATATCTGTATATCTTTGGATAAAACCCGTCTGGGTTGTGGTGGTAATTTAAAATTGTATTCCCGAGGATTCTTGATCTCCTTCTTTATGACATCAATATTTCCGGGCCTAATCCAAACATAGTTTAATCATTCAAAAACATTGATTGTAAACAAACCAAGATGAATTAAAACGTGTAAAAAATGGATTCTCCTACCCTTTCCTAAAAAAGTTGAGCAGTATAATAATTTGCATATCCTTTTTTTAAGACTCGTGTACAGAGCCTCGACTTGTATACATCGATGGTGTTACTTTTCTCGGTGGTCTACTAATCTTACTTATTTCCTAAAAATCAATGACAAATCAGAGTAAATAAAATAACCTAAAAATAAGCATTTTTATATTTAACCAGCTGTTACTTAAAAGAAAATTATATTGCACTAAAACAAACCGAAGATTACAAAGATTTATTTAAAAAAATCCTTTGAACATCTTAGTATTTTACCTATGTATATTTAAATAATCTGTCATCCTCTTATCGAAGGATTGGACGTACAATCATTCGATCATGATAATCATTGGATTAGCATTACACATAGTATAAATAAGTCAACCCTTAGTACCGGTATGTCTTTAATTTTATCCAAATGCTGAATTTGTGTTACAAACGCTGAATGTTTACAGCTGTTAGACAATAGACAATAGACAATAGACAATAGACAAATAATCTTTATTTACACATTCATTAAGAATAGTAGTAGCGTCAATTTACAATTTTTTCTAAATGTTTGGTTGAGGTGTTGTTTAGTCAAAGACCTGTTGATGGTATTCTTCTAAGGAATAGAAAGGTCGATTAATGAGCCATTGATGCAAAGCTGGTTTGAGGTCATCTTCTGACTTGCTTCTTAGATCTGGAGGTAGCCTGTTGTAGATTTTCATTCCTGCGTATGAAGGTTTCTTTTCAAACTGTGCCGTGCGATGTTGTGGAAGGTTGTACTGCATGGTGTTTCTCAGGTTGTGTTGGTGCATTTCGCCACGCCTTGTAGGGTTATTTCTTACTGCAAATAACACAACTTCCTGGATGTAGAGTGCTACAAGGGTAAGTACTTTGAGTGACCTGAATGCTTCCCTGCAGCTGTCGAGTCTGTGGAGTCCTGCAGTTATTCTGACTGCCTTTTTTTGTTTTCTGAGAACTCTTTGCATGTTAGTGGCAGAGGTTCCACCCCATGCTACAAGTCCATATCTCATATGCGACTCAAAAAGTGCAAAGTATGCTACTTTTGTTGTCATGTCATCTGTTGCATTTTTTATATGTTTAAGAGCATAGATGGTTGAACTTAATTTTTTACATATATTGTCCACATGAGGGGTCCAGGTTAAATTCTTGTCGAGTGTGATGCCCAAAAACTTAGCTTCATCTTCCACTTCTACATCTGGGAGTCGTGGCACTTCTTGAGATTTACGGCCAAAAGCTATTTGAGTTGTTTTAGACGTGTTTACTGCGAGATCATTGTTATAGCAGTATTGGTAGGCCATACTGAGTGACACATAGGATTTTACTTCTAGATTTTCAGCTAGTGGTTCATTAAACACTAAGGTTGTGTCATCAGCATACATAAGAGTAAGGCAGGCGTCTCCTATTTGTTGCGGCAAATCGTTGGTAAAAAGAATAAACAGTACCGGACCCATAACTGAACCTTGGGGAACTCCTCGATTTATTGGTTGAAAATTTGATCTTGTTTTTCTTATTAGGCTGTTATCTCTGTGCCTTAGTTCTACAAACTGACTCCTGTCTGTAAGGTAGCTTTGAAACCATTCTCTTACTATCCCTGACACCCCCAGGGAATCCAGCTTTTTAATGATTAGCTGGTGGTCAAGGCAGTCAAATGCCTTACTGAAATCAAGAAAGATTCCTGTTGTTAGATTTCCTTCATCTAGGCTGTCAATCAGGGACTCAACCATCTGAATTATTGCTGTTGTTGTGGATTTCCCTTTTGTAAATCCATGTTGAAGGTTGTTTAGTAGGTTGTGATTTGTGCAGTGGTCTAAAAGTCTTTTTAAAACAACTTTTTCGTATATTTTGGAGAAGGTGGAAACGAGGGAAATTGGTCTGTAGTTGCTTGCTTCTAATGTGCTACCTTTTTTAAATTTCGGGTATACTTTAGTTATTTTAAGTAGTGAAGGAAAGATGCCTTGTTTTAGGGACTTATTTATCAAATCAGCCAATGGTAGTGCTAGTTCATTGCAGCAATGCTTAAGTATTTTTGACGAGATTTCATCAATTCCAGACGAGTTTTTTGCTTTAAGTTTGTTTATAATCATTTTAACTTCCTTCTCGTCTGTGCTTTGAAAGGAGGAAAACAGTGGACCTGTTTGAGTTACGTCAGGAGTTTGAGCTGTGGTCTTTAGGTGTTTTTGTTTCTCTACTGTTTTTTCTCCTACTTGTGTAAAAAATGTATTCAAATGCTCTGCAACATGGGTCACATTGTATTCAAATGCTCTGCAACATGGGTCACATTACTTATGAGTTGGCCATCTACTTGAAGGGTTATTTCATTTAGGGATGTTTCCTTTTTGGACCACACTGTGTTTATTGTTTCCCAGATAGCTTTAGATTTATTTTCAGCTTTCATCAACTGGTCAGAGTTAACCTTTTTCCGCATCGTTTTCAAGTACAGGTCATAGTTCTTTTTATTTTCAATAGAAACCCTTCTGTCATCTGGATTTCCCGTCACCTCAAACTTTCTTAGAGCTTTAAGAAATTCGGCTTTAAGTCTCACTGCTTCTGGGTCCATAGAGAATTTTAGTTTATGTTTTCTTTGTGTTTTTATCTTCTTTTGGGGGCAGGCTGCATCCATAGCTACTCTCACTATGTTACTAAAAGTTTTAAAAGCTTCTTCGGCATTGTTTATTGAGGTAACACTAAGCCAGTTTTCTTGACTGAGAAGATACTTGAGGTCTTGCAGGTTTTTATTTTTTAGGCAGCGTCCAATTTGGGCAGGATAACTTGAGTTGATGTGTGATTTGAAGTTTACAGTACAGAGTTGAGCAGTATGATCCGAAAGTCCTGCATTGATGATTTCTGGAGTGAGTTGGTTTGTGTCCATATTTGTACATATCCAGTCAATGGAGGTTTGTGTTAGATTTGTTATTCTCGTAGGTGGAAGCTGTAGTCTCTGGATGTTGTGCATAGCAAGAGTTTCATTTAAGATAATGTGTTTCCTGTTTGGGTTACACAAATCAACGTTAATATCTCCCATGATGATAAGAGGGGAATTTTCAATTTTTGTTTCCTCAATTAGTTCTGTAAAGGTGTTTAATGATTCCTCAAGGTCTCCGTTTGGGGGTCTGTAGGTTCCCAGTACAAACAGATTTGAGTTCTTGAATTTTATTTTTATAAGAGCTGCTTCAAATAACAGTTCTTTACAGTACTTGGAAACATCTATGGCTACTGTGCTGCTCTCAAGGCTTTCTTTTACAAGAATGCAAACACCTCCTTTTCTGTGTTCTATTCTACTATAGTGAGCCTTGAGGCAGAATCCAGTAGCTATGACGGTGCTACTTATTGTCTCAGGTTTCAGTCCATGTTCTGTCAGAATTACTATGTCAGGTTTGGTTTCTTCTAAAAGGTGCTGTAGTCTATTTATTTTATTTGAGACTTCCTGTGTATTTTGGTGCAGCAGGATGAGTTTGGAGTTTACATCCTGACGCGATTGTCTAAAAAACAGTCAGGTTGCGTTTCTCTTGTCTCTGCTGATTTTTGCAGTTTTCTTAAAGTAAAATCAGGCTGCGTTGGAATAATCTGAGAAGGTGAGGAAAACACAAAGTTATTATCCTGTAGCGATGCAGCCTCCCTTTTTACTAAATATCCATAATGCTTCTTCATATGTTCTGAATAAAATCCTATATTTTTCACAAAGAAATCATTGTAATCCTCGTCTTTGCTCTTTGGCTTAGCATTTAGGGGTGGAAGTTTATTTTTATTTTTAGTCTCTTTCAGGCTTTCTTGAGCTTTTACTGTTTGTGACACTTGTGACAGTTTTTGTGGCGGGGTTTGGCTGGTTCCCCCTGTTGATACTTGTTCCGTTGAGGTCTCAGATGACAGTTTTTTCGTAGGAGTTTGTCTGACTCTCCCTGTTGCAGTTTCTGTTGGCAGTTTTTTAGTAGGAGTTTGTCTGACTCTCCCTGTTGTAGTCTCGGTTGGCAGTTTTTTAGTAGGAGTTTGTCTGACTCTCCCGGTTGTTGTTTCAGTTTGCAGTTTTTTCGTTGGAGTTTGTCTGGCTCTCCACGTTGTGTTTTTGAAGGTTTTGCTGGTTATTTCTCGGCAGTCAGTAGCAAGTTTGTGATTTGTTTGTTCTAGGTATTTAGCATTTTGCAGGGATACGCTGAATATGTTAGTTCTGTTATGATTTCTTTGAGCCCTTTTATTTTTTAATGAACTTGGTGTTGGAATGGAAAGATTTTTTGAGTTGTCGGAGAAATGGTATTAGAAATCTCTTTGTTCATCTGCATTTTCAGGGTGTTAATGACGTGTTCCATTTGATTTTGTTTCATTTTAATTTGAGCAAGTTCAGCTAAGAGGAAAGGACTGTGACCAGCTATACATTGATGGGTCTGGGTTACAGCAGGCTTTGTACTAACCAGATTTTCCTCTTTTTCATCCAGCTTAACTTCATTGTGTTTTTGTGTCAGATCTTTTATGTTCTGTTTAAGTTGTTGAGTTTCTTGTTCATATTTTTTTAATGTGTCTTCTTTTTCCTTGTCCAATTCTTCAAAGGTGTGTTCTAAGTCTCTTCGAAGCATCTTCTCATTGTCGAGCTGTTTTTCAAGATTATTGATGGTTTCCACTAACGAGTTGTTTTTCATTAACAATCTTTCATTTTGGTCTAATAGTGTGTCTATTTTTTCTTCCCAAGCTGCTGCTTCATTTCCATTTTTTATTTTTGTTACTTGAAAAGACAGTTTGGCATTTTCGAGACTCAGCTTGTGTACATCCTCTCTAAGTTTATTGTTTTCTTCAAGGAGAGCATTTCCAACCTCCGCTGCTAGGTTAAGAGAACTTTCCAAATCATTCTCTTCTGTATCAAAATTCTGTACAATGTTTTGAAAATCGTCCATGGTAAGATTTAAATTGTTTAACATAGGTTCGGGCTTGTTAATTGAGGTATGACTTTGAGTGATGCAGCTAAGCAAGGTGTCGTCTGAGGTTTGACTTTCAGAGCAATGCTTATCATCAGTTTTGCTTGATTTCCTTGCAAAAGCGATTTCTGCTTCTTTTAAAGCTGCATTAAAATATTTATTTTTGAAATTGTCTTGTTTAGGTTTACCATATATTGCTTTGTTTTCTGAGTAAAGACATACATCATTTTCCTTTATTTTAGCTGTTTTATTATCTCCAAAAAAAGAAACAGTATACTGTGGTTGTCTATCATTTTTCTTTGGAACAGTCTCCTTTATTTCTGCAGGCCAGAAACTGTAGCCTTTTATCTTTGCAAAAACCAAATCACCTGCTTTATACATAATTCTACCTCAGTTGGAGAGGCTAGTTGTCTGAACACACAACTGTTGTTGATCAGCAGTGTGCTATGTCTGTTTGTCTGCTAGCTATGACGTTAGTTACAGAGTCAGCAGTGTTGACGTCTACCAGCTGTGTCGTCAGATTGTGTCGTCAGCAGTGTTATTGCCTCAGTCTGTGTCACCTAGTTTGGCTGTGACGTATAGTGATGAGTTGGAATTATGTTGAAGCCTAGTATTCCCTGACTGGCAGTTTATTGAATTTACAAATGAGATGGTTTATCTTGAATTTTAGTGCTAAAAATTAAATTTGTAATATTTCTTTTCCTTTAAAAGAGTGATTTGAAAATGCTTGGTATTCTTATAAATGATTCCTTTATAATTCCATTAGAAATTGGTAGGTCATCACAAGGTGAGTTGCTTTAGTATTGATTTTTCTTTGTTATGTTATGTTAAACATATATATACATAACTACATACATATACATATACATACATATATACATATATAACATAACTATAATTTGTTATGTTAAAAAAATTATATTACACCAAAAGCTAGTTTAGAATCTTAGCGTCGGCTGCTAGACTTTTCAAAAATTAAAATTTAATTTCTAAATAACTGGGACCCTAAACTAAAATTATGGCTTTGACATTCCCTAGTTCTCAAAATTATCTATCTTTCAACACAAAAATCATGAAAATCCGTCGAGTGGTTGATTCAGAATCGTGAAACAAAAAAACCCTGTTTCGTTTTAATATTATAGATATAGATTTTAGTTATTTGAATTTTCAGAAAATTGATTTAAGCTTCAGCTGCATTCATTTTTAGAGTATGCTACACATTAGTGAAAGTTATCTTTACTTAAAAATGTGTACAAGTCAACAAACACAGTTTATAACCTCTTTTAAAGTTTTAGAACATATTAAATAATATTTTTTTCACAAAACACTAATAAATGGTGTGAATTGTTTTACTGCTTTTTTTGTTGAACTATACTGAAGACTGTTTATAAGGTAAGAGATATATAGCTCCTAGTAGGATATAGTCAAAACTTAAAACAGAAATCAAGCACTAACATACACAAAGGTTTTTTTTTACCATCATAAGAATGCCACAGGTATGACCCAGGCTCGCCAGGTACAAAGTGGTACTGGAAGGTTTGGTTGAAGAACACAGGACACTGAGTGACATAGGGAACTCCATCCATCCATGGAGTGGCGAGGTGCTTCACCCCCTGCCAGTGTAGGGTAACATTGCTATGAGGGACGTCGTTGATCAAGTCTACAATGATTGTGTCACCATGGCAAATCTGCAGACAAACATTTACATTACATTGATCATTGCAATCTTGGGTAGTTGAACGGTCTTAAAAGAGCACCGCCAAAGGTGAGCTAGTTCAAATCTGAGCTAGTTTACCAGCGCCATGACTTCATCAAATAGCTCTTCCCCACCCTTATAGGACGATTAGTTTTGTCATAGTAGCCAATAAAGATGTGAGGAATAACTTAATATTTCTTTATATACCTACTGTTCAGTACTTATTAATATTTATAATCATCCCCACATTATTTATTTAACACTCTTTGATTTGCTATGTTCATATTCATTTGTACCAGCTGATGTTTAATTATTAATTGATACTGTTTATATCTCAGTGTTAAAAATGTTTCTTTCAAATACAGTTCAACTATTTTCCAATCTATTATTTCTTTTATTCTCATCTAAAATACAGTCCACTTATTAATTATCACACATATTTTTTGGTCCTTGCGAGCCTAGATTATTTACTTGAACCTTTTATTTCAATTAACTAAATTTTCTAAATTCTTTGATGTTTTAAACTTGTCTACCTATGGAAGAAAGAAGATCAGATTACTCAAGAGATAACTGTTTTAGAGTTTCAAAGAGACACTTTTGCCAAGAAGATAAAAACTCTCCATTCAATCAGAGTTAAGTTACATAATGATCCAACAGCATATAACAATTTTAAAGTACGCTTCGATGAACTCAAACCTACTTATGAAGAATTCCGCCGCTGCCACATTGACATTATAAAACTCAAAGTTTCTCTTGATGACACAGAAAACCTCTCCATATACCAAACTATTGTTGATGAAGTCGATGAAACTGTATTATTCCATTCTGTCAACCAACTTGAAGTTTGCTCCGTCTGCTGAATCAAATTGTACCTACCAATTCTAACCCTCCAAGTGTCTCTAGTTTTGGTCTTAATGTTCGCCCGATTATTGCGCAATCGCAGGGTTTTATTAAAATGTATCTTAGAAACTTAAAAACAATGTAAAGTATACTGTTTTATATATCATTTTATTTGGTAAATTATGGGCTTCAATGTAATATATAAAACATTCCAAAAAAGTTTTCTACAATTTTTGTGGGGTTAACATTTCTTTCTCAAAAATGTAACGGTTAGTTTTTATGTGTTACTTCTTTTAAATGATGTTTATTACTATATAGTATATTGTGGGGGGTGAGCTCGCTTGGCAGTGAGCACAAAGAAAGGTACTCGAGATTCAATTATACAAAATTCTATATTATATTCTCAACACAAGTAGTTTTAATAATTACAGAGATAAAGGGAAAAATAGAATATAGATATTATATCAAGAACAATGAATGGCAAAATATGATTTTCAATCAAAAATAATTGTATATGTTATTATTCTCAAAATAACTATTCAACTAAAGAGGCAATAGAAATTGGTAAATTTATATATATTATTTCAAATAACTCTGTGTTATTAAAAGTATGAATTCAATATGACAAGTATTAAGTGTCTTTACAAGTATTTCAAAACTATCTGTGCTCTAAGTCCAAAAATATTAAAAGAGGATAACGGCCTTACCTTGGCCAGCCGGCGCTGGTTCCTAAGAAGGAGTGAGTTATTGGTAAAAGGTCTACCACCGATGGTACTTCACAATTTTGTTACAAAGAGAGAGGGTAAGGCCATGATCAGCAATTTGTTGGGTATTGAACCTACTGAAGGCAAAAAGCAGCACAAAACTGCTTACACTCAGCAATCTACTTTACTCAACCAACTGCTGTAGTTGATACTTCTACAATTGTTTGATTGATTGAAAATCATTTACAATATGAATTTTAAAATTTTTATTGAATTAATATTTTCCCCAAAACGTCCTACCATTACAAAAATTATAAAATAAATGAAAAAATTTTATGTTTGCGCTCAATAAATTTTTATAATTTTAGGTCTACTAAAATGTTAAAATAGCCACTTCGTTCTAAATGTTATGAGGATTCCAAAAATATAATAATATAAGGAAGTAGATTTGCAAATAAATAAGTTATGGGCAAAAAACAGATTTCGGTACATAGCGTTTAGCTAAGAATGCATAGCCTAACCATAGCTAGGAATCTGGCTGATAATTTACATCAATATCACTACCTACTTCTTTGGGATCATCAACCAGCCCTTCAAAATCACTTAAATCTTCTTATAATGCACCACGTATATCACTACTTTTGATTTTTAACATTAAAACAATGATAAACGTAATAAAACACATCAGTCATCGGTGCGAGGTTAACCAAGCTGTTTACAAATACGCACGTCAGCTGTCTGCTACAATTATGATCGGCTCGAGAAAAAAAAGCGCTTAGAGACAGACCTCGGGAGAAAGCTTAGAATCTGCCAAATAAAACGATACCTAACTCGATCCAGTTTAATCCGATTTTGTCAGTCATAGAGCCTTCACCGTAAACAGTGTTTGTGAGTCGAAAAATCAACACAAAACACTACACAAAGTGTGTTATGTGTCGATTTTACAACACATAACACTCGGAGGGTTAAAGGGTCAGGTGAGCATGCACACACCAATAGTAAGGTAAAACTTCCCAAAATCTGTTTACCTAAATTCAATGGAAACTTGAAAGACTGGCCTAATTTTAAAGATTTATTTTGTTCCCTAATCCACACTAATGAAACACTTTCTCCAGTCGAAAAATTCCAATATTTGTTGTCCTGTTTGAGTGAAGAACCACATTCTTTGGCACGTACTCTTCCAATAACTAGTCAAAATTATGAATTAGTTTGGGAACAAATTGTCTCTAGGTACGATGATAAACGTCGCCTAGCCACACATTATTTGGAGGAAATTATTGCTTTCCTTTCATTACATGTCTCTTCTCTGAAAGCTTTAAGACATTTATTGGACACTTGTTGTGAAAATGTTAATGCATTGAACGCAACAACCTTCCCTGTAGATTTAGGAGATTTTATTCTGTTTCACACTTTAATTCAAAAACTTGACAAACATACGAGACAATTATTTGAAAGAGCTTATTCGAAAAGTGAATTTCCCACATTTCATAACTTAATAAGTTTTTTGACTGATCATTGCAAAACTTTAGATGCTACTGCTACTAATATTCGAACAGACCCAATAGCACAGAAACCTAAGCCAAATTTACTTCAAAATGCTTACAAACCATCTAATGTGGCAAGAAACACTTATGTCACTTGTATTTACCCAATTGTATTTACTGTAACGAACCACACACAGTGTACACTTGTACAAAGTTTTCAGCTTTGTCCATCAAGGAGCGTAGGGATGTTGTGCAAATCAAAACGAGCCTGTTTCAATTGTCTCAGCATTGGGCATATGTTGAACAATTGTACTTCAACATCTACATGCCGAAGTTGTAGTAAACGACACCATACACTTCTCCCCGACGAGTCTCGTTCGCATAAAAGAAAATCAGATCAGGTATGTCATGTGTCACATTTTTACAAAAGCCAAACAAACACTCCCGAAGATGACAAGCCAGTGATGTCAGGGTTTGGATCAGGTAAGACTGACTCAAATACTTCAGTGTTACTCGGTCCAGCAGCTATTCAAGTGAGTGATTCATTTGGTAAATATAGGACATTTCGAGCTCTTATTGATCCAGGATCTCAAGCTTCATTTATTAGTGAACGATGAGTTCAACAGCTAGGTCTTCAAAGACAAAAATGTAATGCTCCAGTACAAGGACTATCTCAAACATCTATTGTTAAGACAAAGGGATGTGTCAATTTTTCTATCAAACCTCGTTTCCAACATGGTCCCATTCTAAACACTAACACTATTGTCCTCGATGTTTTGCTTGGAGCTGATTTGTACCCCGACATTTTTGATGGTGGGCGGAGATCTACCCCTCATGGTATGCCTACTCTCTACCACAGCATTTTTGGTTGGGTTCTAATTGGACCTATAAAAGTTCACCACCCAAGTAAATCCTTTCCTACTAAAGGACCATCAAACTATTATGAAATATAAAACTACTCCACAGACAAGAAGATGTTAACCTACTCTGCTGGATCTAAAGAAATCAGCAATTTTTCAAGATCATACAGAAACCAAACTAGACCAGAATTTCACATAAACACAAGAGTTGCCAAGGATAGGTCAAATAAGAAAAACCACGTGAGTTGTTTTTGGTGGGCGGTTATGATCAGTACTTATTAATATTTATAATCATCCCCACATTATTTATTTAACACTCATCTTTGATTTGCTATGTTCATATTAATTTGTACCAGCTGATGTTTAATTATTAATTGATACTGTTTATATCTCAGTGTTAAAAATGTTTCTTTCAAATACAGTTCAACTATTTTCCAATCTATTATTTCTTTTATTCTCATCTAAAATACAGTCCACTTATTAATTATCACACATATACAGACAACCATTATAGGTTTACTATGAGAGTCCTAACAGAAACAATCAGTCTGAGACATTATGCACTTAAATTTAGTATATAACTAGCTGTTGTACCCGTGTTTCGCAACAGGAAGATATACTACCACCTAATCCAAACATTTGTTAAGTAGTTTGATTATAAGCAAATACCCCCGCCGCAGCAAACCTGCAGACTAAGCGAATTTCCATTATTGCCTTAATGGATTTACACTAACATGCCTCCTTAAATATATCACATTTATTCCCTATTTAAAAAGAATTAGTTTAACGAGTACTTAGGTTTGCTGCAACAGGGAGGGTAAAAAAGTGTTTTTGTTGTAAAATGTTAATAGTTTAGTAAGGGCCATGTTATACGAGCGCTATTGCCGTCGCGCAGATGCCGTCGAGATAGCACCGGAAAAAGTACATGTCATACGTGGCGGCAAATGCGTCGCGTTGATGGCGTCCCGCTAACGCCAGGTGCCTGTCATATGTAGCGTCTTCTGGGCGCATTTGCCGTCGCGGCAATTATGTTATTACCAAGATGGACACAATCCAGTTAGGTTGTATCAGCTTTTTGCACATTTTACATACATATGAAGAGTA